CTTGGCGGCGCGCTTGCTCTTCTTGGCGGCGCGCTTGCTCTTCTTTCAGCTCCCGCAGCTGTTCTGCCTGACAGCGCGCTTGCTCTTCTTGGCGGCGCGCTTGCTCTTCTTGGCGGCGCGCTTGCTCTGCCATCATTTGCTGCAGCTGTAGCAGAAGATCCACCTGCACAGGCTTGGCTTCTGCATCGCTGGTTTGAGCTGCAGCACCCTCTTCCCTCACACGCTGCGCTTCTGACATTGAACGGGTACTCACTCCTCTTACGTCCTGCGGCACTAGCGGCATTTTTCTCCAATCCCACTTCTGACACCAAATGTTACGTGCCTGACGTCACGTTCCTGACTATGCGGGCTTGGGTTACGGGATTGGATGAAATGAAACACTAATACCGGTTTTCAGACTTTCTATTGCACTTAAGTTACAGCGTCCACGGAGTTAAGTTATCGGCGTTCCTCTCCAGCAGAGTCCGGCCGACTGACACAACTTTGCCGTTCACGCTGACTTAACTCACTTAACTGACTGCACTTCACTATTTCACTGCACTTCACTATTTCACTCACTTTTCTTCTTTCTCACTTCTTCCTTTTCTTCCGAATCGCTTTAGACTTAGAACTCAACTGCCAGCGGTGAGCCGCAGTTCCGCTTATATACCCCCGGTCAGGTTCTGGAACATTCAATTTCGTTATTCTTTTTGATCGTCATGCCTCCAGAACCTTCCAATAATTTCGTTATTCATTTTTATTTATTCTCCTTCTCGCTCTTTAATTTTTCATTTCTTTCACACAAATAATTCCAGAAAGTTCGACAAAACTTCTATAAACTAAAAAACTTCATGTTTACGGCGGGACTCGAACTCGGGGTCTCTGTGGTGTAATCCACACGCCTTACCGATTACACCAACTCGTGTTGACAATTCACGATGAAATTTACAATCTCTAGGCAACGTTTGACAACCATCCATTGACGTCATGATGTCAAAGAGTTTGAACCACTTTTCCGTCACAATATATAGTTACGAGGTGTTTTCTTGTCCGAATTCCTATGTAATGAATGTATCTATGTAGTCAATGGTCCACAACATAGTTATTAAAACTGATAAGAATTTATCAGATTATATAATTTACAAAATAAACGAGTCATGGATCTAAATATAAGGTAGGTAGGAGACTAAAATAAAAGTTATATTCACTTGAATTAAATTTCCCTTTGTTTGGTTGTTTAATTATTTTGTTCGTAAACATCAAGCTAAGTGTTCTGTAGTTTAGCCATTAAAATACTCAAAATATACCAACAGCAATAAATTTTCTCATGGGAAAAGCCAGCATTGTTGCTTGTATCAAATTTGATTGATAAAATTAAAATTGACATCATTCAGGCATATTTTAATACTAGTCAGAATTCAGTTAATTCAGCTTTTAACATTAATAACGAAACACTCTTAAATAACATTATCATTTATTGAACATCAATATGAATTAATTTTAAAAATAAATCTTAAAATTTAAATAAATAGCATCCATTCGACACTAGTACATACACTACAGCCAGTAATCTCTTATACATAAAGTTCTTTTGACAAATGTGTGCATTATTCCTGTTGTTACATCTACATAACATGTATTTTTTTACTACAGGGAATTAAAATGCTGTGTAATCTGAAGAGCATATCCATTTCAGTCATTGCAGTTTGATAGCAATTATGTTACCTATATTTTATGAATATACTCCTTTACACTATGGTAAAATTAAACAGGCCTGCGGAAGTTCTTTCCAGCATATTTGGCAGCAGCTCCTAGTTCCTCTTCAATACGGAGGATCTGGTTGTACTTGGCAAGACGTTCAGAGCGGCATGGTGCACCAGTCTTAATCTGACCAGTAGATAGACCAACTACAAGATCAGCAATGAAGGTGTCTTCAGTCTCTCCAGACCTATTGAGAAATAAATCAGTGAAATATGCAACTACATTATGAAATACTAAGCCTTGTAAAATTATTACAAGAATTATATACACATACCTGTGGGAGACCATGGTGCCCCATCCATTTTTCTTGGCCAACAAGTGAGCATCAATAGATTCAGTGACACTGCCAATTTGGTTGACCTTTAAGAGCAAGCAGTTGCAAGCCTTCTTCTCAACGGCAGTGGCAATACGCTTAGGGTTTGTTACCTGTAAAATAAATCAATAAGTTTGTTAAGCCGCTTAGCAAAATTATAATGAATTTAACACTAATTCGAAAAATCCTCTAAATACTTACAGTAAGATCATCTCCAACAATTTGAATGGGTGTGCGGGAGGTAAGACTAGTCCATGCGGCCCAGTCATCTTGGTCAAAGGGATCCTCAATTGACACCATAGGGAAGTCCTTGATGAAGTCAAGGTACAACTCGGCTAACTTCTCAGAAGATAGATAATCAGCAGGGTTGGACTGAGGGTTCTTGAAGTCAAGATCATAGGTGCCGTTTTTGAAGAATTCAGAGGCAGCTACATCCATTCCAATTTCGATCTGAAATGAAAAGTACAAAAAGATTAAATCATATTTTTCTAAAACACCTATTATTATGAAAATGACAAACAACATCAAGCCAATACCTTGCCAGTATAACCAGCCTGTTGGATGGCATCCTGGATAAGGAAAAGAGCATCTTTGTTGTTCTGGATGTTGGGAGCAAATCCACCCTCATCACCTACAGCAGTGGAGTCAAGACCAAATTTCTCCTTAATAATCTTCTTTAAGTAATGGTAGACTTCTGAACCCATGCGCATAGCCTCACTGAAGGAGGAAGCACCTGCAGAACAAAACATACTATTTTATTTGAAATTGCTCAAATACAATATATTTTATATCTGATTCCTTTTCTATAAATTAGCAGCATGTAATTGAAGATGAATATTATTTAAATACATAACAAAACAATAATATTTGACCTGTGGGCAGGATCATGAACTCTTGCATAGCGAGCTTGTTGCCAGCATGGGAGCCACCATTGATGACATTGAATGCTGGTACTGGGAGTACAATGTCAGCATTTCCTGCTAAGTCAGCCAAATGTTTGTACAGGGGCACGCCTTTCTTTGCAGCTCCAGCCTTGGCAACTGCCAATGATACACCAAGGATGGCATTGGCACCCAACTTTGACTTATTTTCAGTGCCATCCAACTTCAGCATAAAGTCGTCAATCTGTTAACCAAATCATTATCCATTACTTTAGAACAATATTTTATAAGGTTTCCATATTATACTTATCACACTCTGTTTTAAAAGTGTAAAAATAATTTGTATTAAATTGTTAGGTGTAATACAAGTTCAGAAAAATACTAAATATGTATTTTTATAATAATAATAAGTATAGAGGTATATGTTTATTTTCTGATAGTTTATATATTGAAAGGTTATCTGTCAGAAATAATAATATGCTGATTTGCATCATTTGTTTGTGGGTGTGGTGCCATTGATTAATATCAATTGAAAAATTAGTATATTATTTTCATGAAGTATTTGAAAAAAACATTGGTTGTTGAATTCTGTTAATTTATAATTCATAAATATTTACTAGTTACTAATTTTGTCCTTGATCTGGCTGCTAAGGTTAAAGTGAAGGTTATATTAATAACTATTCTCATAACAACATACCTCCTTCTGCTGTGTGACTTCAAATGTTTGTTTGAGAAGCTCAGGAGCAATGATATCATTGATGTTCTTGATTGCAGTGAGCACACCTTTGCCATGGTATTCTCCCTTAACATTGTCTCTGAGTTCTAAAGCCTCGTGGACACCTGTAGATGCACCAGATGGTACCGCTGCACGGAACAGACCCAGCTCTGTAACCTACATGAAGATTTATCATTCATTAGTATACAATTAAAAGTGTTACCAGATGGTGGTATTCCTATTGAAAATTGTACCTATTTAATTTTTCTAATAAGTATCTTATTGGTTTTTTTTATTAAATGCTTGACAAAATAAATCTTAAATTATTTATATTCCTAATATAATATTATATTATATGCACAAGGCGGGAGAAAGGAACTGTTACTTGAGAATTACTCATCCTATTTAGTAAAAAAAACATCAAATAGCTATAGTAAACACTTCAAAACCATGTTGATCAGCTGTTGAAATCAAGAGGTTATTATACCTAGATAAAAGTTAAAATACCCACCAGATCAACCTCCACAGTGGGGTTGCCACGGGAGTCGAAGATTTGACGGGCCTTGATTGACTTGATCGGCATTCTGGACATGAAAGCAATTAAACTCCTGGTTAGCGTAATTAATGTTGATCTAAACCACTGTAAATTTACTTTGCATCACAAACACAATCATTACCTACCCCAACTTATTCATCAAAGGCATTTAAAGGTGGCAAGGTCAACTATAGGTTGAGTAAGTAGACGTGGATGCTAAATTCCTTGCTAACTATTTAAATATATTTCAGAATACATGTTAAATCAACGTGTTAAATCAAATTTGTTAAGTGACGAATTCCAACATAGAAAATTAAGCTAAAACAACTGACGTATGCACAATTCACAAAAAGATTACTAATTTGCTTATATAAGATTTATTGCAAAATCCACTGTGTTAATTGAATATACTAGTGAAACATAACTTATTTATTAACTTTTAGTAAGAAAATTCATACTCACTTGCTTATGGTTTCGTAATTTCAGCACTCCAATGAAAATCTAAATGCACAAAATTTGCCGGATCCGCCGGAAAGTACCTACAATCGCAAAGTAGCTTTGTCCTTCACAAGGTGAAACTAGAGGGAAAAGAACGGAATTTACCGAGAAGACTAAATTAACAGTTTTCTACGAATAAAAGGAAAGTTTTTTTTTCAAAAGGAATTTAAAAACAAATCTAATAAATGGTAAAAGAAGTCCTCCATGGTGCCATCTGATGGAACTACAAATTAAGAAAAGGTTGTTACATCGCCATTACTAAAATACTATTTACGGTTTTTTTAAAAGACTTCAGTTTCATTTGACTTTCACATTGACATTTATTTGACGTTAGACATATGTGTCAATTTTCATGAAATTGTTTTCGAGTTCATCAAGAATAAATTGTTTATTTATTTTTCTGAAAGTCTTATAAAACTCGTCCAAAATGAGTGATTCAGATGAAAAATCTGAGAAAAAACCTATTATAATTAAAAATGCAACTGATTTACAAAGACTTAAGTTAGAAAAACTAATGAAAAATCCCGTACGTACTAAATTTCGTTTGTGAAAGAATAAACATTTCATATTCCATCTGTATATGATGTATTTACATGGCTTTAATATTTTCAGGATAAGCCGGTTGTTATTCCTGAGCCACCAAAATCTAAATCATTAGCTCCACCACCGGACTTCGTCCGTAATGTAATGGGCTCAAGTGCTGGCGCTGGCTCGGGTGAATTTCACGTATACCGTCATTTGAGGCGAAAAGAATACGCAAGACAGAAATTCATACAAGAAAAGAGTGAGAAGGTAAATAAATTATAATTCTGAAATACGCATAAAATAATAATACAGTTTATAAATAATAATTTCTATGATTATTTAGACACCACCACTGACAAGCGGTGAAGGTAAACATCGTGAGGAAACCTGGACTTATAATTTCTAGTTATAAGTTTGAAATTGCCAACCCGCATTGAGCAAGTGTGGTGATTAATGCTCTAACCTTCTCCGTGTGAGAAGAGGCCTTTGCTCAGCAGTGGGCACTTATAGGCTGATGATGATGATGATGAAGATGAATAATTCAGTTGATTTTTTAAAATTACTTTAAGTGCATGTATCCGTACTGAATCATATTTATAAAAGGGTAAATGTAATTTAGTTTTCATTATTCCAGGAAAAACTTGATGATGAATATCATCAGAAAATAGAACAAAATAGAAGAGCAGCAGAGGAGAAAACAGCCAAGAAAAGAGCCAAAAGATTGAAAAAAAAGAAAAATGCAAAATTAAAAGGGAAGAAGGCAAAAACAGAAAATAACCAGAACCCCTCTTCTCAGTCAGACTCAAGTGGAGAAGATGACAACAATGAACAGAATGAGACAAACACAGACACTTGTACATTAGATAAAGACAATGAAAATACTTCATGATTTAGCTTACTTAATATAGGTTTAGTAAATAAGAAAATACACAATTTTACAAAATGATGTAGAGCATTTAATTAAATTAACATTTGAATGTCCATTATTAAACAAATACACATACAAAGACAAGCAAAGTTTACAACATAAATTCGAAGTATAAAATGAAATTCAACTTGCACACCAATTTATCTAAACTTAACCTATTTTTCTTAAACAGTTTCCACTAATTTTAATTGACTTCCAAAAAAGTAAGGTGGCAGCGGTGGGAGTGAGGTAGTGAAGCTGTCATGCTCTGCTATTGTTATTTGGTTCCAAGAGTTGTTACTATGTGCAGTACTGTTAATTTGACGAGCACACCATGGGATTATAGTTAATCTGCAACAAATTTAATATGATATCTTGATCTTAATTGAGTAGGTATTAAGTTAATAATTGCTTTTAAACGATAGTCATGAGTCATATTTGATTAATCGGGCAGGGAAATGGTTAAAGTTAAAAGTTCTTTCCCACCTCCAATCCCTAAATGTCCAAATCCCTAATCCCCAAAAGGTCGGCAATGCACTCGTAACTCCTCTGTTTTTGTGGATGTCCACGGGCGGAGCTGATTGCTTACAAGTAAGTAATCCATCGGCTCGTTTGCCGACCTATCACATAAAAATAAAAAAAGCATTTCAAGTATGGAACAGCATTCTATGCGCATTGTCTATGTGTACCCTATTGTAATGCAGTTTTTTACCGGGATATCATCATTATTCTCATCTACTGCTTTATATATCAATACATATTGTGCTAGCAATTGGGGAATTGAATTAGTAAATTAATTACTAGAGTTAAGATCTTGCAATTTGGTCGAAATTGAAAAATGTAAGAGATGGTAAATAGACTAGATAAAAAGGGTAACCATTCAAGTTTAGTGTTTGATGTTTTCGGTACTCACCCAATCATTAATAATACAAATCGCCTATCCCTATTAACATTGTCGGATGTGAAAATTAGCAACTTTACAAGAGAGCGAGTCAAAGTTTGATATGTAGATATTTTTTTTAATTTACAGCCTAAGTTTCCAAAAACATACTGAATTTTAATACATGTTTATAAGCTTAAGTACATCGTAATAAAATGTTGTAATTGTTTTTATAAGTATGCTAAAAGTCAGAAATGACTTTTTTAATGGTACCAAATCAAATTTTTATCGTCGGATCTACCACATATGACAATGTTACAAGTACTTATTAATAGACTTTTCGTAGGAAGTGCCACATACGACCGTGTTACTTGCACAAACTTATCAATTAGTTGTTGTAAGTGCCATATACGTCATTGTTAACCGTTAATCCTAGACAAAATTATGTCGTATCTAAAATGAGATTATAAATAAAATAAATTTAGAGAAATCTTTGTAATCATATATTTATTTAAAAAATCAACAAAACAAAATCAAGGAAAACAAGAGTCTAGGAACATACCAAAACAAAGGGCTTCACTTACAAGGCACTTTAATCAACGAAAAGCTTAAAAAATAATATAATTAAAAAGGACTCCGGAAGTATAAAAAATAAAACAGCCGATCATACACAGCCTTAAATGAAACCAAAACCTTAATTGTTAATTATCAAAAATATAAAAAGGATAAAAAATAGAACCGTTCGACTTACTCTTAAACAAAAATCTTATGAACTTTACGAAAATAATAAAAAAGTAGCTACGTAGCGCACATTGCACAAAAAATCTCAGAATTAAAAAAAATAACTATAGCAGAATAGAATAACAAATAAAATCGACCGAACTGTTCTAATATCTACTTAATATTACAAAATTAATAAAAATATTAATGTAAGTAATTTTATAATTTTTTAAAAAAACTTATAAATTTATTTACTAATCTCGTTCAACCTACTAATCAGTCTTATGATTTTTACTATTTTAACAATGGCACTTATTTATCACATTTTATAATAGGAACAAAATCATGTCAGTCATTATTAATTAATCCTCATCAATATCTTCAAGAGGCTCTTGGACATTTTGATCAAATTTTAATTTTTGGTAAAAGTTGTGATATTTTTCTGGAATTATATTAGTTTGACATAAGTTTATTAAATCTTTATATTTATTACGACTAATAGGGAGATCACCATCATAAGCCTGTTTGATTTCAAATTCACGGGACAACCTTTCAGTGTTTCGGTTACCAGATCTTAAAATTTTTATGGTTTTAGGTTCATCTTCAAAATTATACTTATATTCAATCCTGTCATAGTGTAGTGCATGTACTGTCACCTCTCTTAAGCGAGTCCACTGGATTTTCTCGTTTTCACTGTTTTTAGACCAATTTTTATTGGCTAACAGGGACTTAAAGTCATATATATCGGAGGTTTTCATCTCTATTACTTTATAGGGGTTACCTTCAGCTTTAGCCCAGCGAACAAGACAGTACCATTCTTCTGGAACATAGATTAACCTGCGGTCACTAGCTCGTTCAATAGTCGAATGGACACTATCACCCTCGTTTTGGGTGTGACCCTTTTCCATAAAGCGATGGGTAATAGTGACTCCAAATTCTTTTGCAGCTAGCAGGTAAAGGGCAAAAACTATGCGGTTTCTGTTCTGCCCAGCACAGTTATCTGACCAAAATCGAAATGTTTTTACTTTATTTTGTATAACCTTTTGTTTGATGAACTGATAGAGACAACTAGACACTTCGTTCGCGCCACGTTTTGCTATTGCTTCGTGCCACATAAAACAAGTGGCTTCTTTTGTAGCTAACTCGTATAAAGTGAAGTTCAGTGTAGATAATTTTCTTTTATAATAAAAAACGCTTACGTCTCCGTGTGGTGTAACTAAAACTTTTTCAAAGTCAAAAGTTGCTGCCACAATCTCTTCATTCGATATCGCTTCATTTTTGTCCTGCTGTTTTAGTACACGAGCAGCTTTTTTGGCCGATTGATGTTTCAGAAATGCAGATTTTTCTTCTTCTGTTGGAATTTCTTTATTACAATAAACGTGACAGACATCACATAAATCTTTCTTCGGCTTATGAAAACCTATATTGAAGTTAGCGTTTAAGATGTCGCGATATTGTCGTTTTGTTGATGCTTTGTTACGATACTTGTCACTGTCAAACCACTCAGAATACAAGTTAAACATACGAGATGCACTTTTTACATCTTCTAAGTATAATTTCTTGGAATCTTTCCTGATATAATGTGATTCCACTAAAGAAAATGATTTGACGTGGTCACATACGCTTCTGATCATCTCTTCATCCATTACATTAGCTTTATGTATATATTTTCCTCGTTTATCGTCTGATACTGTCATTTCTCCATCATACTTTTTCCAAGATGTTGTCACAATTCGCTCTCCCGCAGAAATAGTATTTAAGAACATGGTCTTACATACCTTTGTTTTTTGTTTATCTTCGTTAGGAAGAAAATAATAAAAGGTATTTCTACGATCATGTTTAGTTACTTCCGTTGTTTGTCGGCGTTTTGGTATTTTTTGTGTATACATAATCACAAAGTGCCATTGCTTTTGACGGTCTCCAAGATTCCAAAACTTTTTGAATATTATCTCCCGCTGTTTTTCAGAGAATTTTGTGGAACATTTAAGTCGACATTTTTCATTACACGGTTCTTTTAACTGCTTTTCTTGTATGTGTTTTCCCCTATGATTTGTAAAACTCTTCCCCTGATTTTTTAAAGATTTTCTATTATTTACCACCCAATTTTCTTTATGAATTAGTCTCTTCTTGCCTTTATCCCTTTTAAAAGTAGGTTGGCGTGTTTGTTTACTTTGAGCAGTTGGTGTATAGACACTTGAAAAAGAAGTTACAGAAGGTGTGGGTAAGTTTCCATACAAGTCGTCGTTGGTCAATATTGGTGGATTTTCACTTTCTGCATACCCGACACAGAAGGTATCATCGCAAATTTCATTAGAGGATGGGGATGGCATCGGAGTTATTTCATGGTCAACGATAATTTCAAAATGAGTGGAGGTCGATGCAATGGGTTCAATATTTTCTGCTGACGATACAGTGGGTTCAATATTTTTTGTTGTCGATGAAGTCGATTGAATCTTTTCAGATAACGGCGCAGTGGGCTCGATATTTTCTTTTGTCGAAGCATCATCTTCATTGAAAACATCACCAAGCAATTCATTCAATTTAATCAGCTGATTTTCGAAACCACTTGGCAATGGAGACTCTCTTTTATCTGTAAAAAAGTTAAGTAAATATATTTGTGTTTTTTATCCATACATGAAAGCTATTAATACATTTCTAAAGAATTTTATAAGAAATTCGAAAAACTTTAGTCACAGGTGGGAATCGAACCCACGACCTCCGACGTATCGTGCCGACGCTTTAACCACTGAGCCACCAGTGACTATAATTTTTCGAATTTATTAAAAATTTCTTTAGAAAAGTTAAGTAAATAGTTAGACTAGCAATAACTAAATAAATTACATTCCCGTATACTGTCAAGTATGAAAATTATTTAAGATACTAAAAGAGTCTGTATAATTTGTAAAAAAGCGAGAAAATGCAATTAAAAAAAAAATAACAAGAAAATATACCACAACCAACACAATTTATTTATCCTTAAACGGTTAACAAAGCAATATGTACCACACCCAACAATATCTTTTAAAATATATACCGTTAACAAAGTTGGAAGTAACACATCCGACAAATAGAACATACAATAAAACGGCCAACAAAGTCGGATCTTGTACTACCGACATACTACACCTCACAAAAAACAATTAATAATGTCGGATGTGGCACTACTGACATATTTTAGTGCATAAAAGTCATTTAACAATGTTGGATATGTCACATCCTACTTTTTTAACCGAACTATTACATATTTAATTACAAATAAAATTAAAATAAATATTAAAATTAGTTTATTCTTGCAAAATTAGAGTCATGTTTAAAAATCTTTATTAGTAATAAAATAATAATTAATATTTACCTGTTTCTTCATCTATATCAGTAGAAGTTGAAATATTTAAATCAATACTCTTGTTTTTATCCATAACATGTTCTTCAGATTCTTTAGTAGCCAGTTTTACTAAACGTGCGGACCTAGTAAACATTATTCTTATTATTAAGAAACAACAAACGATAAATAAATCTCTTTAGCAACAAAATCATGCAGCGTGCGAACGCCCGCGCAACATGGTCCGTACTGGCACAACCGCACGCGCTGCCGCCCCGCGCACCCCGCAAACATTGTCGCGAGTTGATATCCGACATTGTTAACTGGCGATCGGGACACATCTGACAATGTTAATGTTGCTATTTTATAAACTATATGTAATTTTATGTTTTCTGTCATCTCTACTAAAAGAATGGACTTTTTAAGAATGATCAGTGAAATAAAAAGAAAAATGGCAAAATTGCATATCCGACAATGTTAATAGGCATAGGCGAAATGCAGTTAAAACATTGGCAACAACTAAAAACCACAATGAAAGGGCTGTCATTTTAATGCTAGGTATTTCTTTTCTTTTTCGTTCTCCTTTACCCAGATGATGCGATGATGACTTTAAGATTTTATAATTTAAATGTGGTTAGTTGATAATTTTATTTATTACAATATAATGAACCTACCTACAACTTTATTAATTTTTCATGCACTAGTCGTGACCTTCATCACGAGTACGACACTTTCACAGTCACACTATTTTATGTTAGGTACCTGCATATTATATTTTTTATTTGTTCTGATTGGCATCTGTAAGTAGGTAGTAGGTAGAGGCCTATGTTCAACAGTGGCCATCTTACTGATGACATGACCATAGTACCTATATAGTAATCTGTGGACATGACGACGGCAAAGCCACGGTAGATTGTAGCGTTTCTCCCGAAGACTTTTTCGCACAACTTATGGTCTTTTTTAACTAGCTTAGCAACCAAAATTAATCGACACACTGACCCATAGGTTTCGCAAAACGCAATGGTTCGCTGCGGCCACCTGTATAATGAAACAGTACAGCAGGCAGGGATGCTCAGCTCGCCGCCCGACCAGAACCAGGCCCGAGCGTACGGCGCGTAGCGTTCCGCGCGCGCCTCAAAGAGCCAATAGACCACCACAGATGGGGCCCTAAAGGGCTGATGTTCAGCCGGGGTTGCGGGGTAAGCGCAATGAGGCACCGCGACCTCGGCCCAGAGCAGGAGAAGGAACAGGGGGGTTTTTAGTCAGTAAGAGTCTGACACTCCCTCCCGCCCGGCCCTGGGCGGGAGAAGTCATTTGATGATTTTCCCCTCACAAAAAAAAGGCAGGGATGCTGTGCGGCAACGAGAAGAGTGACTCGTTAAACTCATGTCACTGGCTGAGAATATCTCATCTGCCTTCACATCATTTTGATAATTATTATATAGTTACAAAAATGAAAAGGGTCCACTTCATATTGTGTATAATTTCGTGTTTATCCTGTACACATGAACAAAAGAAAACTAAGTAGGATATAATTCTCACAATTTTATTAGAACTGTAGATAATGAATACAAGTAAATTTTAATTAAATTTAAATATTAGTAACTATCTTTATTGGACCGAAGCCATAACACTATCTTCGTTCTTCTTGAGTATAACGAAGCCTTCCATGACAGGGGATAGAGGGATATACTCGTCGGTGGCGAGTTCAGCGCGCTCACCAAACGATAGTAGCACGGGGGTAGTATGCGTGTGGGACCCGGCGATTGTTTTGGGAGTTCCGGCTTTACCAATAACGTCGACCGCCTGCAAAATACAAATTTTAATTTCATATTCTAAAATCTAAATAAATAAATTGCATATAAATCTTGGATTTCTTGAAAATTTATTACCTGGCCAACACGCACGCTCACATTCAAGGGCTGAAGATTTTCGTCGAGGGTTACCAACCAACGGGGCTGCATCGACGTAGCTAGCACATACAGCAAGTAATGAGATTTGCCGAGGATGACTGTGGAAAGGAAAGAATACGTTTATTACTTTTATCTCGGAGATCATCATCGATAGAAAATAGTTAAAAATAGGAAATTATATTATATCTCCTTCTTAAAGTCGATTAAAACGATACTTACTGTTCTTACAATCCAAGAAAGCGGTAAGTACAACAAGCAAGCCTGCGAGGGCGGGTTGGTTGATGAGACGTCGGTCGGCGTGTGTGGGGCAGAGTGTGACGGTTCCCTTGCCGGCGTGGCAGAGACCTTGCGCCAGACGCACCATGAACAAGTGCACCGGTGACTTGCCGTGGTACAGGGCTAGTGCTCGCAGCATCGTAGCCAACCTTTCAACCAAACAATATAAAACTAGTATAAAATTATGGTGTTTATAACATAGTTGTATGGAAATCTGCACATGATTTTTTATGTTACATGTAGTAGTATTCCTGAAAATATATGGGCAACTCATTGGCTCCGTAAACTGGGCAACTCATTCTAACTTTTGCCAGGGGACTGTTCCATTGAAGAGGAGTATAAAATGTAATTGAACTATGCTATTTTACTGCATATAGGAAATATGCATTTATTGTACGAATTTAAATATTTGAAGAATCATTAAAATACATAAATTTAATACACCTTATTTAAAATATAGACAGGGGACTGTTCCCAAAAAACGAAGACAAAGTTTCATTGTTTTTTTTTTAATTGTAAAATAATATTTATGCAACATAAATGGGTCTCATGAACAAAATAACAATTGATTTAATAATATAATAATTACATTAATTCCAATAGATACTGTCCCGAATAATTTAGTTTGAAGTAACTAAACAGCCAGGGGACTGAAGTGTGACGTGCCAGGGGGACTGGTTTAGAAGAACTATAAAAACGTTTTTAATACAATAAAGTTTATTTTAATGGATTTTTAATTTTGTGCAGCGGTAGATTAGGTTTGTATAGGTGGTATTGGTTTTTAGAATTACTTACGAAATATTTACAATATTTATTTTTTTAAACAAATTCAGCCTGGGACAATGAGTTGCCCAGTTTACGGAGAAACGCCCGTATATAAAAATGAGTGACAATTCGTTTCCTATGTGTATTTGTATCTTCTTGTAAGTGGACCGATTTTATAATTTTGATATTTACCTAGCGTTGTTTGTTCCAGCGCCGACAAGACCCATGGCAAAGATGGCGTTGTAGGCGACGTCATTGTCAGAGTCGTGGGAATACTTGTTGAGTACATCGATGACGGCCAGCTGTGGATTGGAGATGGAACAAAGAGCGATAGCCAGAGGCACCGCTCGACGTACCGCTGGTTCACCGTAACGACCCTGAGGAAGAAATTAATTAGATTCATGTTTTTTGGCTATAATTATTAATCACATTCATTCAATGCTTTGGTTGAACATTGGCATTTGCAATATTTGATAAGCGTTATATTTGAGGTACGAAAAGCTTTATTGTATACCACTCACCAGTTGTCCGAATATCCTGGTGCACATCTCTGCACCGGTTTCCTCAGCCAGTGCAATGACGGCGACACCGAGAGTAGCGACCGCTTGTACGGACGACAGCTCTTTGTTAGCTTCTTTCTCCTTTTCTTTTTCCTTATTTTTGCTGTCTTTTGACGACTTGCCTGTAGAAGTTAAAGTATTTTTTAAAAATAAATATAAGTATTACTTTGATGAGTTACAGTTCTCATATGGCGGCGATTGCCTCTTAGGGATATGCAAAAGTACGGAAGAAGAACGATAAAGCTCAACAAGTATGACTTTCTTTAACGTTAGAAGAAGTTAGATCTAAATGAACTATAATAAATAACATTGTCCATTGTATCTCATATTATGATAGTAAAGAGGGTAAAAGTATAAGTTCGTATTTATTTATGATAGTAACCTTTCGAGCTCTTGTCGTCCTTGGAGCTACCAGCCGAGCTGCTGCTGGCGTTACTTTCCTTCGACTCCTTTTTATCTTGTTTCTTGAAAGCCGTGTCCTCAGCTGAAGATTGTTCATTCTAAAATAAATAATATCGACTTATTATGTTTGTAGAATTCTAAGTGTATTTTTTTATTGTAATGTGTATACATATATTAGAACTAGGTAATGCTTGAAATATTCTGATATTCATTTTTGTATTCTTTTGTCAAGAGTCCTGACTTTTGTTTTATTCAGTAAGAGATTTTACATGAACGAAAATGTTGGTTAATTCTGCAGAGTTACAAAAGCATATATCTATAGAATACAATGAATACCTAAATGATTTCCTAGGCAAAATGGGGGTAAAAAAACATAACACTCCCTTTTTTGGGCAGTCGTTTAAAAATATAATGGCGTAAGCTTACATCAGTGTCGTAGTGCTTAGAGCAGATGTGTAGCATCTGTTGCACGACGAGTACGTCCCCGGTGCCGGCGTAGGCGCACATGGACAGCGTCGTCTGGCACAGCGACTGCTGCGGCTCCGGCAGTACCTCCAGCGCCGCCATCGTCGCCTCCGTGCGCTCCTTGCAACCTATGCCATGTTAATTATGTATTAATAAAATGTCCCCTTAATATTCCCTCTGTAATACCTCACTACACACAACTATTATTAGTTAAAATTTATTTATGCGGCTTTTATAAGCCGCATAAGTTAATGTTCTTTATATTAAGTCTCACCTAAGAAACACAGTCCAAGACCCAAATGCAGGAATCTAGCATAAGTAGACGAATGTAAGTCTTTATTGTCGTCAATAAGACGTTGAATGATAGCGCAGGTCACCTGTGAACAATTAAATACAATTAACCATTATTTATGATACGAATTGTGTGTAATAAATATATTATGTAATATGTATGTAATATGTATAATAAATTGCTTTTAAAAATAATACGCAGCTTTAAAAAATATCTATGTATAATATAAAATTTACGTAAAAATATTAAATACATATTTAATTATTAGACAATGTTTAGTGTAATGCAGTATTACTTAGTTTCAAGATGATATTTTTAATATACTTACGTCCCCATTGCAGGAACCAACGGCGATCAAGCCGCATGAGACGGCGGCAAGCGCGCATATTTCCGCAGGAGCGGCGGTGTCACTGAGCACAGGCAGCAAGTGCGACAGCACGTCTTCACGTTGTGTACCCGCGTACGCTATACCTAAGCCTGGAGAATACAAATGGTTTTGTTAGACAAGTACATAATATTTTTTTCACACTGACAATTATTTATTATTAGAAAAAGTTTTTTTCCTAAGAATTGGACCAAATACCTCTTTCTCGGTATTCGTATTAAAAGCCATCGTCGACTGCGATATCTTAAAGACAGTACATCAGATTAGGGATAATAA